GACCTACTTTTCTCCTTTGATACTTGTGATGAATAGTTTTGTCAAGCAGCTCTGTGAATGTTCAATGTGCCATATTCACCTGTCCTTTTTTGCAACAAAGCCTGAGCTAGTTTTCCTAATACACAGAGAGGATAACGCACGTCCACCCAATCATACTTGATTACTCTTTATAATCAGAAATAGGCCATGTCTTTACCACTGAAAGCCCCCACTGGAGTGTGGCATGATTACTGTGCATTTACGTGTTAGAAAGATGTTATTACATATGGGTCACCTGCCTGGATGAAAACCATGTTGTTCTCTCGAGGTTATCGAGGTGTTGCCACCCTGGTAAAGCCATGTTCCAGCTTCTTACCTCGGACAGAAGATATCGGTCGCTGAGATGCAAGACATCTCGCTGTGCTAACAGCTTCTTTCCACAAGCTGTTAGGTGCCTAAACAGAGCACTTTATTGTTGCTTTTGCCCCTTGTATCGTTTTTTTGACGATCGGAGCCACAGTGTCGGCTATTTTTATTTATTTACTCTGTATGTTTATGTGTATTTTATATTACATTGTATTGTGCTCTTTATTCTGTTGGTGCACACAGAGTACCTTTTTTGCAAATGTATTCCAATGTGGTTTTTATACTGCACATGGCAAATAAAATGAATATGAATCTGAATCTAGAGGTGAGTAAGTTGGGATTTTTATATGAATGGGGACAAAAGCACACATCTATCACATTGACTTTTGAGGAAGTCAGTGGTAAAACAGCATGGCTCTATAATAATAACTGAATATGGTATCACACGCTTAAACCTGAAGAACTCCATGCTAAGGGGCTTCCCGTGGTACTGCAGACTAAACAAGAACATATTCACGTGGGCTACTCAGAAATCTTCCCCATAGAACTCCATGTAAACTAAAACAGCTCACCCTCAGCTGACAGAGAACCTACGGCTTTCATAAAGGTTGGATTTTGTGGGGATTTTAATGTTCCTTGTCATCCTGAACTTTTTATCTTGTCAAATTCATTGGTTTTCTATAAATCCACACTTTAGTCCAAAAAACTCTGCTCGTTTTCGTCAAAGCATCAGGGGACTTCATCCTCTGCGCAAAACCGGGAGGACCAGAGAAATGCCTAAATATGAGGAAAGCTTAAGGGCTGGGGTACCTAACTTTAGAAATACAAAATAAAACAGGAAAAAAACCTAAACGATGACATATATACTTGTATGTGTTCATCTGTAGAAACATTTTATGAAAAACCGTGTATGAACACTGTTTTGTCATTGCATATGTGATTAATAGGTTATGTATTTACTCTGTGTGTTTCCTAGATATTTAATCATATTTTGTCAGCAGTTTTACCTATTTTGTCATCTTAATAAATTGACGATTGATTGATTGATGAATGATTTTAGTTATCATTCTACCATCTTGGTTATTCTGTTACTTCCTTACACGTAAGCTGAGCCGGGTCCTAACAAATACTCAAAAAAGAATATAACAGTACAGTTATGTTAATCTTTAATAACTACAGGTGAGTGATCCTCAACCTCCGGGGAGTGTGGGTTTCGTCCCGGCCGTGGAACACTGAACCAGCTCTATACTCTCCATCGGATAATCAAGGGATCATGGGAGTTCCGTGGTTGAGCTGGAGAAAGTGTGTGTAGATAGGGAAGTCTGAGAGTCTCTGCTTTGACTGCTGCCCCCTGCCACCCACCAACGGATGAAGCGGAAGAAAATGGATGGATGGATGGATGGACTTTGAACCCAAGCAAGTATGAATAAACAGAGGCCATATTTAAATGTCTAAATACAGAGAGAACCAGCGGAGCGGTGCACATGGGCGTTCGCGTGTGGTGACTGACCCTTCGGCTGCGAGCGACAGTCTGTTCTGCACAAGATGCTATAAACGGAGCCGCTGTTGGTCAAAGCAGCTGAACCCATTTCCCTAATAATGTGAATCTGTGTCCGTCTGTGGCTGTGGGAGGCAGAGAGAATACATTTGGTGCTTGTGTGGCAGCCTGAACTTTTAACACGGCATGGATATTTCTATTCTTCTTCCAAAAATAAGCTGCGCTGCTTGAGTTAGCCCACATGAATGCATTTTGAATCTTCTTTGGAGATATGGGTGTAAACCTGTTTCCAGCTGAAAAGGCTAATCTCTGTGACTGTGAATCTAAAAATGAAGCCGGCAAGAGGTGAAGCTTCTTTGGTTTCAGCCTGCGAGACTAAAATCTGTAAACAATCGTATTTTCTTTGTCAAACGCAAATGATGCTTTTGTGTTGAAGGAGGCGAGAGAGAGGTGGTAAAATGTTTATAATGATTTCCAGGCTTGAATCAACAACTATTTGAAGTCCTTTGCTGTTGTGTTCTAAGGCTATTACAAAAACATGTTAAAAAAAAACCGCAAGCGGCGTCAAACGGCCCTCGCCGCACCGTGCAAAGGAGGTGGCGCTGACGCGCCATTTTCCTACCGCCCTGACGGGAGCGAAACTGTGCATTTTTAATTCCTATGATCAGTGATTGTGTGTGTCTTTGAAAAGGTAAACCTCATTCTCCCCATGTAATACTTGACTCAATCTGTAGGGGGCGCTATTGCTGCAATTTTGTCTTTTACACTTTCAGTTTACCCAAACCCAACATCTGAACAATCAATTCAAATTTTGTGCAAATCGAACTTTGTATGTGCAAACGGAAGGCATTTATTTTGTAAAATAACGCCCCCTATGAATTAATTTTTTTTGTCTTATTCCAAAGAACACCAAAATAATACATTTTATATCTGAAAAAAACTTCAAACAAATGAAAACCTAAATACCTTGTTCCCCATGTAATCCTTTACTCAGTCTGTAGGGGGCGCTCGTGGGCCAACCTCATTGTTTGCTCATGTGACCTAGGCCTTCCCATTGAAATGAATGAGCTCCCTGTTTGTCAGGGGGCGGAGCCATAATCACTTTTTTTTCATGTCGTGACCTGAGGAACATGTGTACCGAATTTCGTGGCTCTACGACAAACTTGACCTCTGACCCGCTCCCATAGGCGCAATGTAAACTGACTTTTGTAGGGGGCGCTGTTCGGGCATTTTTTTAGTCCCTAAAAATAAACACCAAAAAAACGTATTCAATCAATGTTTAGGGGGTCAAATTAAGGCTCAAAGCGCAGAAGAAAAAAGAAAGAAAGAAAGAAATAAACCAAGGATTTTTTTTTTTTATCTTTGAGCAAAAACAATATAGGTTTCCATAGAAACCTATAATACAAATGATACATCTTTTTAAAGCGAACGACCAGACGAACGCAACTATTAGGTACTCGGTGATTGACGAGCGCGTCCCCATCATGAGGTCAACCCCCCTCCATAGGACCCCATTCATTTCACTGTGTACTACAGCAGGAGCAAAGCTATTCAGTGCCTCCGGCACTGTTTTATCGGTGTCTGGGCACGCGCCGTCGGGCTTGGGGGACAAATGTCCGGGCTTCACTCTGACATTCGTCCGTAAGACAGTTGAAGGAACCCCCCCTTTTATAGGACTTCAATCATTTCACTGTGTACTACAGCAGGAGCAAAGCCAAAGCTGCGCCCGGAGATTGTGACTTATGACAGTTATAACAAGTCGCCCAGGCATTACTCGTCGGAAAATCAATAGGCCCTTACCTCAGTTAGGGTTCGGGCCTAATTACCCCAGTTAGGGCTCGGGCCTAATTAAATAGAAATTCTTGGCAAGGTCAGCTGCTTTTTTAGTATGAAGAGATACATTTTTATACAATAAAATTAATACGATTGCGCATTGACCCCGGCAGTGACACTTGCAGCGATGAGATCGATTGCAGATGAAGATGATCTCAGATCCCCCGGGGTCAAGCACTGGTGGTGGCTAGAGTATGGTATGAATGGGGCGTAGCGGAGCAGGAGCCAGAGCATGAGCCTAGAGCAGGAGCCTAGAGCGGGAGCCAGAGTGGGAGCCCAGAGCGGGAGCCCAGAGCGGGAGCCGGAGGAGGTGCTGGGGAGGTGGTGGGTGTTAAGAGCTCCAGGAAGCGTTGCTTGTCAGGAAGTGGCTGCCTTTTAAACTGCCCGCTTTGGTGACAGAGGGTTGGCAGTAGGCTGGCCGGGCTGTGTGATTGGCAGAGGCTTAACGCTGGCAGAGCTGTGTGATTGGCAGGCTTGGAAGGGGGAATTTGCACTCGGTCTTTCAGTCTGAATCTGCGCCTTCAGCTTCATTTAACCCCACTCAGCCCAAAATGCTGAATTTATATGATGACGACATGATCATATGTTCAAAAATGTGAGCGTGTGTACTTTTGTATTCAAATGTGGGAGAGATTTGTCAGGTCACTGTTGTAAATATGGTTGTTTCTTTTACTTTTGTATTTTTAGTATGCAGGGAAAAGCTCAACCACCAAGGACAGGAGTTGAAAATTAGCATTTGCTTTACACTCTGTATGTGCTGCATCAGTAACATATTTTGATTTAACTCGGCCTACATATGACTGCGTGTCCCTGTCAAATAAATACATATGGAATAAGTCTGCGATCAACAACTATAGATTTGTTTTTACCACTTACCATACACCATCCAATTAAATGAATAAGTCAATACCCATGAAACCTTGGGACTTATGCTCCCGTGGCATGTACCTCATTTTAGAGTTTGTTTTCTCATGAAGGAAGTCAAGTAATTTTACTGTAAAATATTGAACTCATAATGCAATTAGTAACCATATAAGTCATCCAAAAATCTATTGGATGGGCATGTGGCTAGGAGTAGGGGTTCTATTGGCACCCCCCTGCTCATTTCCTGGGTGTGTTTATTATTTTTCTTTGCTTTATTGCTCTGACAGACTCTAAATTGCACGGGTCTCACTACTCACTCATACCCCGCATGTTGAAACATTATGTCACTTGTGCTAGTAAAAGTAACGCTGTCATTCAAACAGCTTTCTTTCTATTGCATTCTGCTGTTGCTGTGTGATAGTGTCATAATTGAACACAGTCAGTAAAACAGAGATCGTACCTGTGATGGCGTGATGAGAGAAAGCTTCTACGTAGGTCAGGTAGTTGTGGGGACAGTGTTTCTTGAGCCACTTGCACACGTCTTGTTGCGTCCACAGCACCACGGGTTTGGACAGGGACGAGAGCGTGGGGCTGGTGTGGTAGACGGCAAAGGCCTCGCCCGGGCGGAGCTGGAACACAAGCAGAGAACACAGTGAATATGGGAGACTACCAAAAATACTACACTATTCCTGTTCTTTTTTATTCCTGAAGTTTTTACCTTGTTTTTCATTACGCACCTGTCTGGTGAACACTGGAGACTTTTACAAATATATTCCAATGTTGTTTTACTGCTAATGGCAATAAAAGGAATTTGAATCTGATCATCTGTTTTCTTTTGGTTTAGTAAGATTTGTATATGTAATAATGAAGCTAGGGTACCTTACCTATAAACCACAAACAAATATTAACTATGTAATATACATCCATCTAATTTTCAAAACAGTGTACTTCCAAGCTTTTTTTTGGTCTTTTTTTTAGTCACACTTTTAGATCAGCTTTTTCAGACAGAAAAGTGAAAAAGAAGCTAACCCTATTGATCATATAAAGAAAATGGCTCCAGCTAGCTTCAAATTCAAATCTGCCTCTTCCACATTTGCTGAACGCTATGGGTGACATCGGCACTCGGTCATTCAACTTTGACAATCTATGGTTTGTATGGTTTTATATTTTGTTCAAAGCATTTCATCTCATCCATCCATTTCCTTATGGTTTATCTGTTGCTTCAGTATGTTCCTCTAGTGCAGTGTTTTTCAACCACTGTGCCGCGGCACACTAGTGTGCCGTATGATATTGTCTGGTGTGCCGTGAGAAATTCGTCTACTTTGTCTAAAAATAGCTGCATTCGCTGTTGACGAGCGGTGACTTGTTTTGAACTGTGAGTAACCATGTAATACTTTTTCAAATCAGTAGATGGCAGCAGATAGCTAAGTACTTTGAAACTGAAAAATTGGATGCGACCACTGGCTGTAACAAGTCAGCATTGTGGCGAGAAAGGAAAAATTGGATGCGACCAACAAATGAGGGAGGGAGCGAGACAAGAGCTTTGTGGCGAGTGAGAAGTGAAAGTGATAGAGACGTTTTTGAAAATGAATTATGCCGTTTCTGAACATGATTAACATCCTCCGCTCTGCCCCGGGGTAGCTGTGGCCGCGTTGTAGTGGTTTAACTATGAAATGTACCATTTTTGTACAACAGCTCTCGCAAACGCACTTCTGAACTGGGTACCGAGCGCAGACCATAGTCAGGTGGACAGAACCACAGACATGCGGACCGGACAGAACCATGGACTCGCGTTCAGGACCTCCCGTGTCCCTCATCCAAAACTCCTGAATTTAAAGCTCGGATACCAAAATGTTTCCCATGCACTAACAATGCATGTTCTTTGTGTGAGTTATTATTTGACTATTTGGGCAGAGAGTGGATTTTCTTAGTTTTTTTCCACACAGTTAGTGCCACTTTATTCCCAAACTCTTGTTAATTGTATCGAGAAATATTAAATAAAGCTTAAAGTCAAGGCCTGGACTTAAGCATTTTGATGAGAATAACTGTATATTGTGAATATAGGCTACAGAGTATACTGTATACATTATAAGATAAGATAAGATATACTTTATATATCACACAGAGTATGTACAGTATATATTTTTACTTTAGTACTGTATACATTTTTACATTTTCTCCTGGAGGTGTGCCGCAAGATTTTTTCAGTGAAAAAAGTGTGCCTTGGCTCAAAAAAGGTTGAAAAACACTGCTCTAGTGTGACCTGAGTCTTCCCTCCTCCAGGTGGGACATGACATAAAAACCTTCAAGACAGAGATCCAAGCCACTTCAATCAGAATCAGAATCATTTTTATTGCCACGTAAGTAACAAACAAAAGTTACCACTTGGAAATTGTTTTGGCAGAGAGCGTGCCACTTCGCCTTTTGCGGCGCTGTGGCACCGCAACTGGCTCCTCTCGACATTGAGGGGCAGCGGCTCTACTCTGAGCTTCTCACCCTATCTCAAATCTTAGAGAGAACCGGTTGTTGTCGTGCTTCACAGTAAGAAGGTCCTGGGTTCGATTCCACCTCCACATGGGGCCTTTCTCTGTGGAGTTTGCATGTTCTCCCAGTGTCTGCCAAGGTTTCCTCCCCTACCTTTAAAAACATACGGCGTCTGTGTTGCTGGCGACCAAACTCCCCTCACAGTGTGGTGTGGATATGTACAGGGATTTGTCATTACTTAAAGCTCATGTCCATTCTTAAATATAAATTAATTTCAAAGAACTTTATTTAACTGTGAGGAACTTCTTTCGCAGACTGCACCGGTGAGGATACATAAAAACACAAGATATAAAATGCTAAACAATATGTAAAAGCTAAAGTAATTATCATACAATACAATGTATACTATTTCATACAATCTTTTCTCTTAATTATGATGTTTGTATCATATTAGCCGGTGTTATTTCAAAACCAAAAAGACAAACAGAAAGAAAACAGAACGCAATTATTAGCAAGAATTGTGCAAGAGTGAGACTAATGGGATGCATCTTACTCCAGCTAACACATATCTGCAGCAGCGGGCTCTCGTAAACATCGTATTATAGTAAAAGCATGATCTCGAGCCTTTAATGAGAAATGAACAGACGGCTTTAAAGCTTACGGCCTAATGACAAACAGATGCCTTCCCTCGCTAATAACGGCGCTGCATCCGTATTTGAACCCCCATTTAAAGAAATACCAATTAGCGATTGTCCCCATACCGTTGACAGATTCCCTCCCATCAACGCCGTAACTGCCATATTTCACCTCCGCCTCAAAAGCAGGTCCCCGTCTCTGCTCGGTAATTGCGATCCATATAGTCGGTGTGAACAAGGGCATCAGCATTTCAAAGAAAGAAAGGCGCCTTCAGGGATGCACCGATTATTCTTGACAGTTTTACCTGCACACCGTTGCGTCAGTGTTTATCTTTAAGTGTGCAGAGGTCACGATGTTAGTACAACCGGTGATGATTATGCGTACACTCCATGCCAACCTTGCCAATTATGTGAACGCCATAAAAACTGAATTGAAAGAAGTTTTGCTCCGACGTTGTGTCCTTGTCTGTAAAGGATGAAACTTCTTGCATGTATTTAATAGTTTGTATTCCTTGAAATGTAGTCGTAGTTGGTTTTCTTCAGTCGTTATGCCCAGTTGGTAGAGCGTTGGCCTTGGCGCCTGAAGGTTGAGGGTTCGAATCCACAGCAAGACCTTCTCCACCGACTCCCACTGCTGTCTGCTGTGGATGTGTCCTTGGGCAAGACACATTACCCCACTTTGCCTATGAGGAGCGCGGAAGTGTTATGTGTTTATGACTATTCATTTAACCAAAGTGAGATCAATACAGTACATCTTCTTCTTTAGATCTCAGGTCACATGTTTTTTCAAATATATTGTACGTTTTACAGAAGGAGAAATCAAAGCAGAAACATACTGTATATATGAAGAATTTTAGTGCTGAATAATGCCTGACTGAAACTGTGACACTATGTTCAAAGATGACCCCCCTGTACAGTTTCAAATCAAGAAAATATCTTGAATATAACGGTTTTTTTTTTACTGTAATCTGGGTCCCCCCTCATTTCTACCCGTCCTCTGGTGAAGGTGGAACATTCCAGTAATAGTATAAACAGTTTAATAGTCCATCATAAAAGCCGTTTGGAGCTATGACAAAATAGATTGGTTGAAAACACAACCTGTGTACTATTCACCTTGACAAGAAATACATGTGTCTTGTGTGGCGCCACCTGCCTGTGAAAGCCAGATCCTGTCAGACTTCAGAAGGTAAGCAGTATAGGGCCTGTTTAGTACTATGATGGGAGACACCCGTTTTCACAGTTGTGATGGTATTTGTATAGTGTTAAATTGTCATAGTGTCTTTGGGCAAAACACTTACCACGCATAAAGTTAAACAAAACAGAATAATTTGGTAAAACATTTGTCACACACATAACTCAAGTGGTTTTCAACAACCAAAAAACAGGAGAAATTAAACCAGTTGTTTTTTAGAGTGTAGATTGTGTTCAAGAAATGTAGAAAATATGCAAACTATTTTGGCTCAATATAGAAATTTCAAATCCCCTAAATATATTATGAACCACTGAGCTTCTGTAAACAAAGGGAACAAGGTATGTCCTTATCTGAAATGTGTAAAGATTGTAGAGTCTGATAAATGTGAGTTAATAATTGAATCATTTTGTATATATTTCTAGCTCTTGCATTGGTGTGATTCAAGGAAAAGACTAAATACAATTCATTTCAGTTCATCAGATGCTACAGATTCCATTGGTATTTCAACATATATTTCAGCTCCAGTCAAAACATTATTGCCTCATTACAAGTCTAACCATGAATCTTAGGTAAGCCTGCCCTACTTCCTTTTGCACTTGCACTGACCCAATAATCCGAAGTGTGTCAAATCCGCATGTGGAAAATGAAGTGGACATTAATAAAGTCACACAGTTCAGTCATTGACAAAAATGCACAATAGAATCGGGTCTCTTTGGCTCTGGCGCCCCTCTCACGGCCCATAGTCTCATATCTGCCCCGTTCATTCGGCCTCCTCTGAGAGCCAGTGCCATGACAATGACTTTGGCTGATTTTCAACAGAGAAGAAGCACAGTCTGCCAACAGCCCCACTCCAGTACGAGAGCCTTTAATGGGATTATACATGGTGAAATGTTTAATGGAGCCCAGGCCGGCGGATCAGGGAGTGTTTTCCAACTTTGTGTTAATGAAGGGTGAGATGCAGCAATTTGTCCTGAATAAAAGTTTCAAATGGATTCTTGTTAAACGAATTATTATTAATGATGTGTGTTATGACATTAAAGTTGGATAAGCCAACTCCCAGCCGTCACGGTAACTAATTTTGATTAGCCATAATATGTTTTGATTCACAAAATGAAAAACAATCTCAAAACAAAAGCAAATGAAAAGCACTTAATTGCGACTGATGCGAATACATTAAAGCTTTTTTCTCCATGTGTCCATTTTAAACAAAGCATAATAATATTTAATATATTTTAAATAATAAAATGATTGAGATAAACAATCTCAAATAAAAGAGAATTAAAACTACCTAATTGCGACTGATGCTACACACAAGAGC